TAGCATTGGGTGTGCGAATTGAGCGCGTTCTGAAACTAAAACGGTTCATTGAAAATCCGTTAAATTGCTTTTTTTTCTGAGGAGCGATTGTATGATTTTGCACAATGAAATTCCATTCCCGCTTTAGGTTATGGCAATAAAAAAATTAACAAACAAGAAAAAACAACACGGCTACGTTTGTAGCTAAAACTCGGTGAATGGTTTCAGTTTGAGTTGGAATCAAATTGAATTGAATTGAGTGAAGTGTTGGTTTTAATTCTATGAACATCAACTAGAACAAGAACAATAAAAACATCATCATCATCGTCATCATCATCACCAACGTCATCCACGACATCAACAACATCAACGTCATCACAGACGAAACATCATCATCAGCAATAAGTTTGCATTAACTGCATTCCGTGTATAAATACGTGAATCCCCAGTAAAGCATAAAGTGTTATGGCTTCTGCAGCGCAGAGTTCTATTTGCCTTTGTAATTGCAAATATTTATTTGGCTAAAACAAATGCCACATGATTAATAGACTTTTCGAATTCAATTCCATCGATATGGCATCATACAAACTCAACTCAACAAACTCTCCACTTTTATTTTTCTTTTTGCTGAAATCAGTGATGAAGTGTGTTTGTTGCGGAATACTTTGGATTTATTACTAGTTTGTTGTCATGTGAATGAAACATGTTAATTTTCATGATTTCTATGATATTCAATATCATATCCAAATATCAAATTTTATCAATTTAAATATTTAAATGATTTTCAATTTAATTTAAGTGTGACTGCCATTTTCAACTGTTGGTGATACGATATGATACGACACGATACGTAGGTAGGTATATGTAACATTCGTATTTCTGTCGAATTTGATTTTATTGCGATTTGAATTATTTAATGAATTAATTATATTTTACCTCATTCACTGATTACACATTTTTAAGTTTAATAAATTGTGCACAATATAACTAAAATTAGAAAATAACAGTATACGAGGGTTGCCTTTTAAGACTTAAGTCGCCTACCAATGAAAACACTATTGTTAGACAGTGAAAATGGATTTATTGTTTTTCAAGGTATTCTCCGGGTTGATTAATACATCTTGCCATTCAGTTGGATCAATTTTTTAAACAAAAACTGTTATTTCTTGTACGTATGCTGCCTTATAAGTCTTGCGTCCAGGCAACACTAAGTACGGCTATATGAATTTTGACATTTTCGTTCGAAAGTTTGACATTTTCTAGTACAAATGCCATGGTAATGTTTCAGTTTACGCACGAGTATTGTGTTCTTTTATCGATTCTAAATTGTGTTTCTGCAAAAAAATGAAAGTAAATATTGAACATTATCATAAAATAATTTTTTATGATTTTCGACGCAGATTAACCAGAAAAAAATGAACCGATCAACTTAGTTCGACATTTACTGATGAAATATCATATCCAGCGACTTTAAAACACTTGTTCAATGAGTTCGAACGATTGTTGTACCAGAAAACATCTATGCAGTGCGAAAAATTACTAAGATTGATTCGGTATCCATCC